GTATTCGATCATAGGTGTCTTCGAAACATTGCTCGTATATCATGGGACCATCGAGTAAGTAACACAGTTGTTAGGAAACGGGTACTAGGTAAGGATGGCAAATCAAGTATTGAAGTATTGAAACTTTATCAGTTGAGGTGGCTGGGACACGTGTTACGTATGCCCAACGACCGACTGCCTCGACGTGCGATGTTCAGTGGTATAGGAGTAGGTTGGAAGAAAGCTAGGGGCGGCCAAACCAAAACATGGCACAAGTCCATGAAGTCACTGACAAGTGGACTGAGTCATGTCGGTAGGTGTAGAGTACCTGGTTGGGGACCACGAGATGATAGCAACCGATAGTTAGAGACCCTGAATGACATGGCTCAAAATCGTTTGGAATGGCGCAGGTGCATCTACTCTTTGTGTTCTCCCAAATTTTGATCTCCTTATTCCTCTTTGTCTCTTTTTCTCTCTTTCCAAATTTATTTCACTGTATTATACCCTTTAAATAACATCTCCAAACACTAATCTTCCCGATTACTGCTTATACTCTTGCTACCTCTACCACTGCGGAATTTGAATCGACAACTGCTTCTGTGTGTTAATGTGGTATGGCAACTCGAACTGATGTACGTACGTACGAAGTTCTACGTTGTTACTGACTGACTGACTAACCACTTTTTATTAGGGGAAAATGACCCATGTGACGGGCATAGTCGTGCGAGCAAAAATATGTCAAGTAGAGAGAAGTATGACAAGAACTGCTACAATGAGTGGATAAAAAGCATTTGTTCCTAACCAGTTTGAATGTAATATATGAGAATATATTGATTGTCACTGAGAAACGTGTCCATTCCTCATAGGGTTCTGCAGTTAAATGGGATGAAAACTGCGAGTTAAACTTTAAAAATTAGCATAGCGGAACTGGCAAATTATTATTTTCTTAGAATCTTCGTACGGGCGGTTGTAAAGCGTTTTTTGGTATTTAAGACATGGTTGTAATTTTTCTGAAAATGACAGTTAAAACAAGTCAGTTATTAATAATGAAAGTGGCCGTGGAGTAACTCTTAAAGTAATCGCTCTTAGTCTTTACGGAAATAGAGTAAACATCGACTTTTCTCGCGACTCTATAGAAGTTGCTGTTATTATTGTCTGTAGTAGGGACTTCTACAGTTTGATGATCCTAACCACTGGAAAGCTTGCACAGATTTCTGTATGAGTTCGTTCATATTCTTTCTATAATTGGATATCCTCTTAGGTGTAATTTAGTACTAGGATGAATCGTTGGTCTGTTATGGTGAAGAGGACCATGAGGAAATTATACATCTGAATCACATTCCCCCTAATTCTTTTGTACTGCACAGGTTGGAAGCTTAGAATTTCCTGCAGATCTGCGTATGGATTTTTTAGTCAGAGCACCTTTGTAGCTGTTGTTCTTGGAACGCTTTCGAAGCGAACACTATGCTTCTTAAAGTAGAAGAATCACGCAGATTTTTTTTCAAATAAAGTTTGAAGTAAACACTTAAATCAGTTCTCAGTTGTTCCGAGATTAGGTTTCCTAATGTTCTGGAAAGAAACTTCAGGACAGAATATGGTTTTTTAGCTGAAGAATGCCAAAGGGAATAGAAATTGGGGTACCACCCAGTGTTGTCCCAGTCATTTTACTATGGTAGGGAGTGTGATGCATCTATCACCCAAGAATTATTAGGTGGATAGAGTATCTGTTGGCGATGGGAAATCTCCAAATACAGCTTGTGAGAAAAAAACTAATATCGATTCAAGGTGAATTTAGTGTGAATATAAAGTCAACTTTCAATACATTTTCTCATTACTTTGTAGGCTTCCAATGTATTCTCACTATGATTTGTGTTCATTGACAATGTATCAGTTTATTAATTATGACCATTTTAATAGATATATAGATCATTAACCTAAATATATTTTCTATTAGGAAATTGGAGTTTTTACTCTAGTTAATGTTTCATGGAAGACACGAATATAAATAGTCTCGTTCGTCGTATTAACACCAGAGTTGACAATTAGTAGACCAGCACACGTATCTGTCAGTATCAACATTGTTTATCTTTAAAATTCTAAATCTGGTGGTATTGGTAAGAAGGTGGTTTGTGTTCCCCAGCTTGGGTTTTTCTGAAAAACTAGTTTTCAATTGTTATTATTATTAAATTTAATGTTCTGCTTACTAGAACTAATCCTAGTTGCTGGGAATTGCATATTTTACGAAGTATATAGGACTAAACAAAACAATTATTAGTAATATTACTATTAAAACACCCCAAAATAGTTGCGTGTGATTTGTCATTCAAATTTTCTTCTGATCTAATATGATATTTGTTAATCTTTTCACTCATCGTGAAAAGGAGCTTGTATAGTGAAACCGTAACTTTCCGGATCTTTTGCGGTAACAATACCCATTAGAAAATTGATGAATGCAGTTAGGCATAGGAACCACGACAAGCCAGTGTTACTCCTCACATTCTTGTAAAGTTTACAGGTATGGTCACTCCTTTTTGTGTTATTTTATGTAGGATAAATCTAAGGGCTTGTTTTAGTTCGATAATGTGAGCCCTAGCATATTTCAGTGACTTTTTCGAGTTATTACACATTAGTCTATCTGCCTTTGTCATCTGAAGCGTAAATTAGTTGTTAAATAAACAAGAGGTCTTAAAAATTTACTTCTGAGTCGTTTTTGTTGAAGAGTTTTCTAATAGACTGATAGTTATTTTACTCTCGGGAGTAGAGTACTAAAGCTTACCAAATAACTGTACAATCTGTGAGAGAATTGTTTGACAAGTCATTTCTTAAGAAATCATTTCATAAACGTATTATTCACTGAATCAATTCCTCCAAAAGGTTGAATAAAAATAAAAGTTCCACTACTCACAACAGTCTAGATGATAGACCGCAAAATCATAACGGTCAAACACTAGTGAAAACAGTTTACATATGAAGGCCCTAATATATACTGGCATGTAACTAATATGAAGTGCAGTTGATTCTGTGTTAAAATTTCTAATCTTTGAGTACGATTTATTTGTAGAACACTTAGGCGTTCTTAAGTTGATTTTCTGAATATATATATATATATATATATATATATATATATATATATATATATATATATATATATAGTTATAACGCTCGCGATTTACTTCGTCTAATGTTATAACGGTTGGGTTTCCACGTACACGTATGGGACGTTGATTTACCTTAAACGATTATCTACACTAGACCCCTCCCAGTGTCTACTCTACAGGACGTCAACACAACTAAGATCAAGAACATGTAATTAACCTGACCACAACGTAAATATATTCGCACACCAAAACCCGTCACAATCCACAACAATGAACAAACAATAATAAGTGTGTCGCAATGATAAGAATAAAGGAATATATAACTCATCTGACACATGTCAGACTATCTACATGTTTGACTAAGCAGCCAACCAATCATGATCATCCTCGACCACACATCACCTCCCTCGCGAAGTTTGGTCGTATGACTTCATCTTTGGGTCTATTTGAAAAGATCTCTTTTGTTTTCATTCCCTTGATGATCTTCGTCTAGCTTCTGATTTCAGCTCATTTTTTTCTCATTTCAACTTGTAGTGGGGGTTGGATATTAAATAGATCACATAATACTTCCATTGGTAAAACTTTGGGTTTAGATGACTCATAAACATTTTTTCTGTCTCTCAGTTGATTGATGTGTCTAATAATTAGTGTATTTTCGACCATCACTTCATACAGTACGGTCCTACGTCTTTTTTTAATACATCCAAATATCCATCTTGGCTTGCCAGGCCGGAAATCACATGCGCAGACTGAGTCATCTGCTTTAAATTCTCGAGTCTTCGGGGAATTTCCTTCCTAATTTTTTTATAGTCACTCATTCTGTCTTTCGGGTTCAAAACATTAAAAAATGTTCTAATTGGTCATTTTTTAATGTTTTGAACCCGAAAGACAGAATGAGTGACTATAAAAAAATTAGGAAGGAAATTCCCCGAAGACTCGAGAATTTAAAGCAGATGACTCAGTCTGCGCATGTGATTTCCGGCCTGGCAAGCCAAGATGGATATTTGGATGTATTAAAAAAAGACGTAGGACCGTACTGTATGAAGTGATGGTCGAAAATACACTAATTATTAGACACATCAATCAACTGAGAGACAGAAAAAATGTTTATGAGTCATCTAAACCCAAAGTTTTACCAATGGAAGTATTATGTGATCTATTTAATATCCAACCCCCACTACAAGTTGAAATGAGAAAAAAATGAGCTGAAATCAGAAGCTAGACGAAGATCATCAAGGGAATGAAAACAAAAGAGATCTTTTCAAATAGACCCAAAGATGAAGTCATACGACCAAACTTCGCGAGGGAGGTGATGTGTGGTCGAGGATGATCATGATTGGTTGGCTGCTTAGTCAAACATGTAGATAATCTGACATGTGTCAGATGAGCTATATATTCCTTTATTCTTATCATTGCGACACACTTATTATTGTTTGTTCATTGTTGTGGATTGTGACGGGTTTTGGTGTGCGAATATATTTACGTTGTGGTCAGTTTATAACACTAGACGAAGTAAATCGCGAGCGCTATAACATTCCTTCCCGTAAGTTCTATAGAGTGAAGCACAAAAATAAGGTGTTCATAATACTGATTGTATATGCTATATAGTATAGCTGAATTTCATTTCTTTGCTTTTTCCCAAATGTTGCAAACTTTCTAGTTGATTGGAAAGACACTCGACTCTGTATAGTTACATGTCTCCATGACGCCATTATACTACGTGTTAATTTCTACAGTCTGGTATTTTAAATAAAATTAAACATACCTCTAAACAATAGTAGTTGGCCTAAATGAATTTGAACACTCCTCCTGTTCGATCGTTTATTTAGTTTTCAGTTTCAAATTTTCCATAAAATTGTGTTTAAATATATTTTGTATATATTGGTTTAACATCACAAAAGTTAGACTTCTGAATTTGAGTATATGGAAGAGAATAGCAATTCAAGTGTTTTCGTGGCCTCCTTATCAAAAGATGTAAAGAGTTGGAAATATCGTAACAACCATTCCAAGTTTATCACCTCAACTCCAATTAATTGTCAAAATCATCGGAATATTTCATCCGTAAAGCAGGTAAGACCTTGTAGTCGATTCTAAAAGCAGTGTTAAATAAATGTTTTGTCACTTAATGTGATATATTAATCCCCTTTCATCCTCGTCTAAGGGCGTATGTTGAGCTTTTTTCTGAGTTGGTATTAGATAGAGTTCTTCCAGAGTTGTCCAGCATTCATTTTTTAAGCTAATTCTGCATAGTACAGATCCGTGTACTTGATATCCAAACACACTCTAAGGGAAGAGATGTTGTCAAGATTCTAATTCTTATGGAAAGCTTCATTGATAAGTAGCATCGTAACTACTCAATGATGTAATCGGCTCAACAATAACATGGAATGTTCAATAGGATTATTCAGATGCAACAGTATGAATTAAAGTATGTAGGAGAAAAATATCCACTTGGTCTTTCAACAGCCTGAAGTGTTGACACACAATTGAGCCACTTTCTTATGCCATTTCAAAGTGATGTATCATCTTGAGTACATTTAAAGAAAGGAAAGTTCAAAAACCTGAAGAGTGGAAGGAGGTTTAGTATAAAATGCTATAATGATGAAATTTTTGGATGTCTATTTCAGGTCTGGTTTGGAAAGCCGATACGTTGATATCCAGGCACATCTAACTGACAATTCTGTAATGGGAAAAAATATGTGTTCTGAACCCCACCGGAAATAATATTAAGGTATGCAATGGTGAATAACTAAATCACTACTTTTCCCAAAATTTCGATGCTTATTCAGTTAACATGCTAATTTCTGTTGTCGCTGAAATACGTCATGCATAACTTCACACTCAAGTTAGAGCAGTAAAAGAAATTAAATTCATTTTGGTAATGAAATGATTTGAAGAAGATAATACTTAAGTCAGCTAAAAATTTAAAGCTAAAATAAGATGATACACTGTTTAGAAAAAAAAGTGGATAAGTCTCTAATTGCCGGTTTTATTTGCCTTACGTAACCCAACCACAAAGCTTACACTTGTGTACAAATCAAATCGCTAATGAGCGACTTTGACTTGACATATGTGTATATTAAATTCAAATGACAAAAACAGAATTCTATTTTCGGTATTTTTCTGTCATGTTTTCGATCTCTATAGGAACTACTAGTATGTATTGCTAAAATGCCCCATTCTAGAACTAAACACTCGTTCAATACTTTTCAGTTTGGATTATCGTTTTGATTAATACAGGTATCATTAAGAGAATAGCTGCATAAAATTTGGTAACTTCGTAGAACTGTCAATTTCTAAAACAATGTGTTGTTTATTCTTTTTTAATTTAACACTTAGGAATCGAGGATCTCGTTTTCAATAAATGAACGCCTAACAAATTTATTAAATAAAATTCTTCCCTTAAAAAAGAAATGGAGCACAAATTTCCATCAGTCATGTATTGCTTTCACAAATCTGGCTTCAAATATTTGTAAAATCCTATCAGGTAAGTTTGAACACATAATTATTCCATTTTGAATCATGCCTTGTACTACACGTAATTATTCTTGTACTAACCTAATCAGAATCTTTAGTTTAAAAGTTTTAAATGTTTCCAGTAGATTCTGACCGTTTTGACATGAGACTTCGTTTACGTCAATCCACATCAATATTCCTCGGAATCCGTCGTAGGAGTTCATTTGTTTTGGCAGACATATCTTCCCGATTCATCCTTAAATTAAGGTCTTATTTAGGTTTTAAAATTATCGGTAAAACTGATGTGACTTACGTTGGCATCCTTTATCCCTCCATGACGTTACATTGATCGCAAAAGTTCTGAGTAACTAGTTCTACATTAAGGCAATACTTTGCCTCATAGATTGAATAAAATCGTAAGCCACACAAACGTATACACAAAGCTACATGGATCTCACCGAACTACACCACAGAGAACCAAATAGTTCATGTTTGCATCAATAAAAAATTCCGAGGGACAATGGAAGATGTGAGAACCAGGAGAGGTGCTGACATGGCTTCAGATCACCACCTAGTTGTAGCCAACTTAAAACTGAAGCTAACAAAGAGCTGAACAAACAGCAATACAAAGGTTCAATACAGCCTTCCTTAGAGATACTGACAGACTCAATGAATTCAAGATAGCTCTCAACAACAGGTTCCAAGCCTTACAAGACCTACTGAAGGAAGAAGGAACTACTATGGAGGACAACTGGAAAGGTATCAAAGAAGCATTAACTTCAACGTGTCAAGAAGTTCTGAGTCTAAAGAAGCACCACCATAAAGAATGGATCTCTATAGAAACACTGGACAAGACCAAAGAAAGGAAAAACAAGAAGGCAGCAATTAACAACAGTCAAACACGAGCAGCAGTCTCTGCATCAGTAGGCCTCAGCATACACAAAGGGAAAACCAAGGTCCTCAAATTCGTAGCGGAGAACATCGATCCAATCACTCTTGATGGAGAAACTCTGGATGATGTAGAATCCTTCACATACGTGGGAAGCATAATCGATGAACAAGGAGGCTCAGATGCAGACGTAAAGGCAAGGATTGACAAAGCAAGGACCGCATTCCTACAATTGAAGAACATATGGAACTCAAAACAACTTTCAACCAATATCAAAGTGAGAATCTTCAATATGAACGTCAAGGCAGTTCTACTGTACGGAGCTGAAACTTGGAGAGCTACAACAACCACCATCATGAAGGTACAAGTATTTATAAATAGCTGTCTTCGCAAGATACTCAACATCCATTGGCCGGATACCATCAGCAACAGCCTTCAATGGGAGAGAACAAATCAACTTCCAGCTGAAGAAGAAATTAGGAAAAGACGATGTAAATGGATAGGACATACATTGCGCAAATCGTCAAACTGCATCACGAGGCAAGCCCTAACCTGGAATCCTGAAGGGAAGAGGAAAAGCGGAAGGTCAAAGAACACATTAAGTTGGGGAATAGAAGTAGATATGAAAAGGATAAATAACAATTGGAAGGAGCTGGAAAGGACTGGCCAGGACAGGGTTGGATGGAGAATGCTGGTGAGCGGCCTATGCTCCTTCACGAGGAATAACAGGCGTAATTAAGTAAGTATACTCTGGGCTTTTATTTTTACTCGTGAATTGTGTATCTTGTATAACATGGCACAGTCTCTGTGTAGCATATCGATTAAGTATCCAGTTTGGTGGTGTAATAAATGAAGACTTGGTTAGATTAATCCAATTTACTGTATTAAGCAAAATCACATACTGCATTTATAAAGTATCAAAACATTACATTAAATGCACTATTTGTATCTCTTACAAGTTCTATCGTTCTTTCATTACTGCTGCTACTCGAACTGCTTCTACTTTTCTCATTTTCCTCTTCTGTCAATAAGAATCCTACCTCCAATTCTTGATACATACTACTTATATCTTGTGGTGTCGGTTATTATTTTAAAGCCATGTACCTTATTCTAGTTTTCGAACAGGCCAATCTATTCATTCTACTTGAGTCATATTTTGACCTTATTAATTATTCGCTTATCCATCCTGACTGATTTTTATGAGCGCATATATGTATGTACATTTCTTATCCTAATAATCACATGTCTGTAACTTATTTTTGTGTGACTATAAATATTGATTGACGCTTGACTAAAGTAAAGGGAGATGGCTCACAAGCCTTCTACACTGCGCGTCGTTCCGCTTCACTTCTTCGATATTTTGTCTGGACCAAAGATCGTGTGAAATATACGTATTCGAAATTCATTCTCGTATTTGACTTATTTAATTCCGTTATTGAATAACGCAATTTAAATAATAGGGGACGTTATTTTAGTTGCCCGTGATCTGACTCTAAGTAGATCGTATAAATGATTGTTATTGAAATATATATAATATGATATCAACCTCTAAAAGAAACTTCCAACTAAATTGATCGTTTTTCCAACACTAAATGTAAGGCTAGTCATTATCGTCATTAGGAAAAAAATATAGCGGATAGTTAATAAAAAAGAGGTTTTTATATTTTTCTCTCGTTTCTGATGTTAGTATGAAAAGTTTAACTAATTTACTGATGTAAATCTCCATGAATTACTTCTATGTTATTTGGACTTACCAACCGACCAATTTTCCGAGGAATCATGAAATTAAAATTACATAGGAAGAGACATACTACTTATTAAATAATGGTTAATAAAATTAAAAGGTGTATGTTTTCAAAGCTTTGTTTCGTATTTTGAATTTTCTCACAGGTTCATCATCCTTTGAGAATCATGATGATTTTGTCACTTATGGATTGTGTAATCTATATTTAAATGATAATTTAGAACAAATGACAAAACTTCGTGATGGTCAAATTTTGGAAACCTATTATGATAAACTAAATGAATGTATAAAAATTATGGAAGATTGTGGCGTACAGCTAAAGTCTATGGTTAGTGTTTTTGTTCTCTGAGTGCTTTTTTCGTCATAGTATTGCGTTTATTCCCTTTATTTATCAATATGGTCCACATCACAATCCGTTAATCGTTTTCCAACCTATTGAATGTCCCGAAAACATCACATTCTTGACTCATTTTTTACAGTCCCACTTAAAAATTCCACACTATTAATTGTTCAGTGATATATTCGTACTGTTTCTTAACTCCAACTCCAATAGGCCAAACGAGACGACTTCTATTTTTCTCGTTCATACTACAACAACTAGAGTAAGGACTTCAGTCAACAATTTGCTTACATCTTTCTGCTACTATCCCCGTGTGTCTATTATCATGTATGCTTAATCCTGCGTTAAAGCTTACACATATATTCTCACTAGCTCAAATGTTGGCCTATTCATACACTCGTTCTCTCTCGTTGGCATCCCCAACATGTGCGTGGTGGCTTTGTGATCTGTGCTTAGCAATCGTAAGCTGTAGTCATTGCTTCGCATTGTTTTCTGAAATTTGTATGCCATTGGGAGTTATCTAATAACAGTTTTTAGGACGAGTGATAAACGAAATTCCACACTAAACTATGAAACTAATACATCATTGTCCCTTATTTTGTTGTGCCTTTTTTGAAAACACTCATCAATATTTGTCAATACACAATACAATAACAGAAAAGATACATAGGATATCCGTTTATTGACCTATAAACTCATGTCTATTGCCCGAAACAAAATGGTTTGTTCGTTCTGTATTACTGAAGCTGCTGACCAAATAATTGTTAGAACGCTAAACTCTACAAAGCATAGTTCTACTTGTGGTGATATATAGATCAAATAGATGATGTTTCAGGAGATCTAAATTATACCGTCAATCTTGAATGACCTATCAAAAAACGAGAAGCCAGTGCCCATTTATAAAACAATTTCTGATCAATAACTTTTGAAACGGAAGTCAATAAGTAGTTATCACATGATTTATGAACCTTTACATATTGAATGATTTATTACAGTAAACATGAAATAGCTAGGTTTATAATCTATGATTTTTTAGCGTTAGGAGTATGGTTAGAGTAAGAGGATACTTTGTTTTTAATAATGCACAGGTTACCCGTCAACGGGTTTTACATCTCACGCAAAAGTCTTAAAGGTCGCTATCTGAACTGGTGTCGGATTGGCACCGTAAGTTATTTCCATCATTGTCTAGTTGTAAAATAATGATAATAAACCATCGTTTTATTATGTGTATGGTAATTTGTCGATATTTATTCACTGCTGATTTGTTTGATTAATGAATTCTTGTTGAAATTTTTTAGCTAGATCAATTGAATGCTTTGAGAAATCTAAGTCAAAATGAATCAATTTACCATCAGTATGCCACATGCCAGTCGACATTAGACTCATCCGTCAAGATAAAAAGTGGTTCTACACTAGATGGTAACAGTTTGTCTACTTTAAATTCTACTCGCTCATATCTATCAACATCATTAAAACAACAAACACAACAACGAAATTTAAGTGGAACTTACTTATACAAAGTATTAAACATTGAAATAAATGGACTAATCAACCAAATTGAACGTGATTCAAGCATTCGGAAATATTTAGTGAAAATTATATTACCTAGCACTTCACATTACTTTCAAGTGAATACTACTGTTCAGGATAATTATAATGTTGTCCTATTAAAATTTGTGTCAATTTGGCGTCATTTTGGACAATATGTTTCATGGTTTACTGTTATATCAATGTCTGAGCATATTTTGAAAACTCTCAAAAATACAGACTGAATGAATTCATATAGAATCATGTATATATTTATACACCTTTTTTGTTCAAGAAATGAATATATTATTTTTGCTGCGTTAGACGTTTTCATTTTCACACCACATTCGATTGGCATGACTGTCATTAGGATATATTTAGACACAATTTTCATCACAAGACAACAGTCCTTGGAAAATTAGGAGTTACTCCATACGATGCGCTACTGATTAATGTATGAAGTGTAGATATTAGCTAACACAATTCTGACGGGATTGCAGTTGCAGTCATTCATGCTAATTAACTAGATTTCCATAAAAAGTCAATAAAACCGAACCTTAAATTATGATCAATAGGTTGAACAAATTACTCCAATTTGACAGTGAACATCTGTAATGAAAATAACGGAATGTTGGAATAGATCTGTACGTAAATGGAAAATAACATAACTTAGTCATTGAAAGATAATTCATTGAAGTCAGAGTAGATGTGTTGGTATGACAGGAGACAAAAAAAGCAGCGATGTACATAGTCACCAAAATCTGTTGCGATTGATGATAGTGTACATCTTCAGGATCATCAGATGACACTGCAGTGGTCTCCAATTAACCAATACCCCAAGCTACATATTGACACACTTTATGTTGATAAATGAAAACGTATTAGGGTCGTTTGTAATGTGCTTCAATGAAGACTTGAGTTAGAATTAGTGGAACTTTGTGTTTTATATTCCGGCTATAGAACTTGTAGTACAGGGTGGTCAAGCTTTTCTTAAAAGACGAACAACTCGTGGTCTTCGAGAAGCAGTACATAAGACATTAGACGATTTGTGTGCGAAAAATGTAATCGGACCGATTCACGCTTTAGCATGTGTTACACCTATTGTTAGCCACTGAAGTTGACCGAAGCTGCTACCTTGACGCGGTGGCCGGGCTTGCCTATCGTGATGACCCAACCGAGCTATAATAGCTGGAACATATATTCCTGTAGGTTCTACCATACCAGGCAGGTCGATTGGAGAACGGTAAGACTAAAAGCAGGAACTCAAGGTCTGAGGGTGAAGTCGTACTGCTGACCGTAGAGGGGTGTAACAGCAGTAATGTGTTTCCCTCGGACAACCAGCATCTGCAGCGATGCTGCCTTCCCACAAGGAGGGTTGGGGTTAGAAAAGCTCGACCCTAAAAATGTCACACCTCACCTTACCTCACGGATTTCCGTCTCCGGCGGTAAGGCCCTTTGAAGAACGGAGCTAACACGTCAAAAACCTTCCACAAAAAGGCCGTGCGCGACCGGTCTCAAGCAGTTGTCCATTGGGCTCTGCGGTCACGCTCCCAGGTCGTCAAGACCAACACTAATGCAATTTTTTTTCAGGTTCCTCAAGAAATACCCTTCCACGGTGTGGGCAGCCGGGAAGTGATATCAGCCCTCATACCCGTAACAGCACACGAGACCAAGTTGGTCACATTCAAATCCTTCCTACACCTAATACCTCTCTTGTCTCTATGACTAACCCTTCTCACGTCTCTTTATCATCTCGCACCTCTAGGGCAGACGATTCGAGTACGCGGAACGTTGTTCCTGGTCTCCTGAAACAACGCTCTAAACTACACGTAGGAGCTTTTAACGTCCGAACATTGTGCCAAATAGGACAACAGGCTTCCTTAGCTAAGACTTCAGAATCCCGCTCCATCGATGTGTGCTGAGTCTCCGAAACGCGCATACAGGATCCGAGTAGCGTCATTCACTTGACCTCACCATGCCAAAATAAAAAAGTAACTCGATTCACACTTCGTGTATCTGGAAGCCCTGATGCTGCTTCTCGCGGCCCCATTGGCATAGGTATAGCATTGAGTCCTAGAGCAGAACTAGTTCTCTTAGAGTGGATCCCAGTAGACAGCCGTTTGTGCGCTGTCCGACTGAACGGAACAGTAAGAATCCGGAAAGATGGGGACACTCCTCGTTGCCACTTCGTCGTCTCTGCCTATTCTCCCACTGACTGCAGCTCAGATGATGCAGAAGATGAGTTTTACAGAAAGCTCTCCGACCTTCTCTGAAAAGCCAGGTGCTCTGATGTAGTAATAATGGCCGGTGACTTTAATGTTCAAGTAGGTAAACTAAGCGAAAGGGAAAGACACCTGGGTGAATCTTATAGCATCGCGGCTAAAAGAACAGATAATGGCGACCGTCTGTTGCAGCTATGCTTAGATAACCGCCCCTTTCTTGCAAATACTAATTTTGAGCATAAGGAAAAACATCTTTTAACATGGCGACCCCCTAATTCGCTTCAACGTTGGACCCAAATAGATCACATCGCTATCAGCCACCGATGGAGGGGCTCGATAGAAGACTCGCTCATTCTGGAGCACATGCTTAGATTCAGATCATGCTCTAGTACGAGCGCGTATCTGTCTGCGTCTTACTGGACGTAGGAAAGACGCTGCAAGCAAACCTCTCAGTGTCCTATTTAATGATAGTCAAGCTAAGAGTATATTTCAGGAACAACTAGGAAAACAGTTAGGCAGCCATGTATGTGATGCCCACCCCGATGCAGCATGGAATGTTATCCGAAAAGCTGTGGAAACAGCAGTGATATCTGCTAGTAAGGTAAACCACAAGGTTAGGGAGCAACACTGGATCTCAGCAGCATCTATCTCACTGATAGATGCTCGGAAACTCATTCCACCTGGCTCTGAACATAATGAAGAGCGGAGTCAGCTTAAGCGCAAGCTGACCAGAAGCCTACGCAATGATCGCGAACAGTGGTGGGTGGCGAAAGCAAGAGAGACGGAAAAGGCAGCGGCAATAGGTAATAGCAGACAATTGTTCAGACTCGTTAAGGAAATCGGAATTATTATTATTATTATTATTCACAAACATCTTATGGGTACATAAGTGTTGTGAAGAAACCATTTCGGGTTTCTTCAGAAAATGCAATAATACACAATTTTCAATAATGTTAGCATTATACTTGCCATATTTAAAAAAAATAATAATAAAAATAAAATAAAAAATTGAGAATAATAATAGTAGAATATTAATAATAATAAATGGGGTCTTTGTAATTGAGAAGAATATTGAATTGAGTTTAAAGAAGGAAATGGAAAAAATAAGGGAGTAGAAATAAAGGAGACATGAAATACGCAAACAGTCTAATAGGGGTGTTTATGAACACAAAACAAGAATAAACGACTATGTGTGTATCGTTAAATTAGTAAGAAAAAATAATTTATCAATGTAGTAAGATATGACACTAGAATAAATGTTTGTGCAGTTATAATTTAGAGTGATGCTATGAAAGTCACAATTTAGTGAAAAGTATAATAAAATATCACTATGTATGAGTCATATATGCATAGTGAAGATGAAACGAATCTGAGAAGTTAATTAAAGTGTAACACAAGTTATTGTTTTAATTACAAACTTCGTAATATTAAGAATAATATTTAGTTAGAGGGAAAGAAGAGAAAGAAAAGAAGTGAACGCCTAGTGGAAAGATTCATCCATGATAAGAATAATAATTGTGTAATGAATATCAACCTCAGAAGGAAACCAGAAATTTAAATAAAAAAATCCTTTAAAGCACTCGGATGAATACATTTAGATTTATGTAATAGTACACAGAGTGAAACCGGATATTAGTATAAATATTTGTGCAACAATAACTAAGATTGATGCTATAAAAGTCGAAATTGATTTCAAAGGACAATCTGGAGTTAAATATGTTTAGAAGGATAAGAAGATACAAAAAGAATATCTAATGTGTCGGGGAACTAATAATGATATTAATAACGGTAATAATGATAAACACGAACATAATCAGACTTCATATATTAAGATAAAGAGAAATAAAACAAAATAGACGTGAAAAGATTTAAAGGTTTTATTTTGCTTTTCAAGCAATTAAATGGATGACGGACCTTGTTTGTATAAATCATTATTGAATACATTGATATTCAATAGGTGACATAATCCACTTTCGGAAAGAAAATCATCAAGGAGACTTTTGAACCGGGTTGTAGTTTTACTGCAACGGAGGTTCACTGGCAGTCTGTTCCACATCGTTGAGTAGCGAATAAGGAAAAAATTCTGACGTAAGTTTGTGTGGGTTCTTGGAATCGCTAGAATGTTCTCCTTATTGCGTAGATTGTGGGATGATATTATAAGGTATGAAGGGGTAGATACCGATGAGTAGGAAATACCATTAATGAGCCGGTAGATAAAGACAAGATTTAATTTGATACGTCTGATCCAAAGAGGTTCTAAGTTGAGTTGTTGACATCTTTGGTAATAGTCTTTGTTATCGGAATACCCCAGAACAGCTTTGGTGAACTTCCTTTGAACACCTTCAATTCTAATCAGATCATTATGTCTACAATTACTGTAAACTAAACTACCATATTCAAGAATGGGTAAGATACATTTTCTGTATAGTAACAATCTCGATTCGATATTATTGAAGTTTATCATTATCAATCCGATCAGCTTTCTAGCTTTGGATACTTGAGATATAATGTGTTCAGAAAAGTTCAGACTGTTGCTATATCTTAAACCCAGGTCATGAACAGTGTTGAGAGGTTTGAGTGTATGTGTCTGTACAGTCAGATTTAAGTTAAGACAGTGACCAATGTGAATAAATCCGCTTTTGTCAACATTAAGTGGCATATTCCACGAAATAGTCCATTCGTACAACTTGTTTATTTCCTCCTGGATTACCGCAGAAATATAGCTTTCTTTCGTGGGAGAAGAGAATGAATAAACTACTTTCAGGTCATCAGCAAAAAGGAAAGGCTTACCATACTGAAAGAGGGAACACACATCATTGATAAAAAGGAGAAAGAGCAATGGACCAACCACACTTCCTTGTATAACCCCACTGGTTACATTTACAGGTTTAGAGTAGCAAGATCCAAAGCGAACGATTTGGCTACGTTCTTCTAAAAAAGATTTGAGCCAAGATAAAAGGGGATTCTGCATGCCAAATGAAGAGAGTTTTAAAAGAAGAAGTTTGTGTGAGACACTGTCGAAA